TAATATATCTGAGTACAAACAAATAAATAAATATTGAATAATTAGTGCTTTATTTCTCTTATTCATCCCATAGGTCTTTTCGGTTACGCGCGCCCGCTCCTGTTACAAATGACCGCGAGCCCGCTTGAAGGTTAAGGCCACCAGAGAACTCCATAAAATTTGTGAGAAGTATGCGTTAAACCATGACTTGCGATACAATGGTAATAAAAGCGAATTCATGGTGTTTAGGGCCGTTGGCTGTAAAAGCCCAGAAAATGTGCCTGCAATTAAATTGAATGACATTGAATTAAAACGCGTTGATAAATTTAAGTACCTAGGGCATTTTGTTACCGATGACCTAAGTGACAATGTTGACATAGAAAGGGAACGTAGGGCGCTGGCAGTCCGATGTAATATGTTGGCACGTAGGTTTACGCAGTGTGGTGAACAAGTAAAGACAACACTATTTAAAGCGTACTGTCAAGTTTTCTACACGTGCAGCCTGTTGTCGAATTATTCACAGCGGACTGAGCGACACCTTACGTGTCCAGTATAATAATGGCTTCAGGATCGTATTGGGGCTACCCCGATTTTGCAGTGCATCAGGCATGTGTGCAAAGGTGCGTACAGATGACTATTACGCCCTTAAAAGCAGCCTCGTTGCTTGGCAGGGTGCGGGCTAGCTCCAACTCCATCATGAAAGTAATTGCTGAAAGATACGACTCATTCCTCCTTAAGCAATATTACTGCCTATGTTTAGTTAATAAGGCGCTTGTATTCAAGAATTAGATGTAGGCACTAACATAGGTTATAAGTTCCATATTTACTAACAAATTTTATGGATCACTTGGTTATCTGAAATAAAATTATTATTGTGGGGTATCAACATAGTTTTCTCATCTAGTTGGGTTCTATAAATATATAATTATAAATGAAAATGAAAAGATAAATATACATAAATATCAATAACATAAACTAAATATAAAAATAAATAAATAAGTAAAAGCCCAACCAGATGGAGGCCTTCGGCAGGGGAGACCAAACGGCCGAGGGTTAGGGGGAAAGGGCTAGAAACAGGCGGACGATGCGGGCGGTATCGAGGAGCACCGCCTTCCGCATTTGAGCCTGGAGCGGCGTCCCAGCCGCCTCAGATGACCCGAGAGACTGACTGGGATTAGCCCGTTCACAGAGACGACTACAGGAATAATTTCGGTCGGCAGACCACCCCACATGTCAGTCACCTCGTGAGCCAGGTCCAGATATTTTGTTTGCTTTTCTGTTTCGGCTTTCACGAGGTTCTCGTCATACGGAATGGTAATGTCGACCAAAAATATCCTTGACTGTGCCCGGTCTATCAGCACAATATCAGGCTTATTAGCAAGAATAGTCCTGTCTGTGATGATGGCCCGGTCCCAATAGAGCCTGGCGCGATCGTTTTCGAGCACGGCTTCCGGCAAGTACTTGTAATACGGCAATTTCCGATCCATGAGACCGTATTTCAGAGCGAGCTCCTGGTGAAGAATTCTGGCTACTAGGTTGTGCCTGTGCAAGTACTCAGAGTTAGAAAGCGCCGAACAACCGGAGATGACATGCCTAAGTGACTCACCGGGATGGCGACAAGCTCGACAGATGTCGACGGTGCCATCCTTTAGGATGTATCTCCGATAGTTGTTGGTCTTAATAACCTCATCCTGTATTGCACAGTACAAAACCCTCGGTACTTAAATTTATCAACGCGTTTTAATTCAATGTCATTCAATTTAATTGCAGGCACATTTTCTGGGCTTTTACAGCCAACGGCCCTAAACACCATGAATTCGCTTTTATTACCATTGTATCGCAAGTCATGGTTTAACGCATACTTCTCACAAATTTTATGGAGTTCTCTGGTGGCCTTAACCTTCAAGCGGGCTCGCGGTCATTTGTAACAGGAGCGGGCGCGCGTAACCGAAAAGACCTATGGGATGAATAAGAGAAATAAAGCACTAATTATTCAATATTTATTTATTTATTTGTACTCAGATATATTATTTATTCTTGCAATATCCAGAAGACGAAAGAAGAGTGTCAATGGCTATCTATTATTCTTCCTTGAAACTGAATACATTTTTGCTTTTTTTTCGAATTCCTCGACACCCCCTTTGTTTTATTGTAAAAAGTAACGATGCTGAGTTTGTGCTTTTCATTTGTACTTTCATCAATTTCTGCAGCACAATGAAGTTATAATATAAGAACTACAGATCTTTTCTTTTTAGGCACGTAAGATACAAGTGTAGCTGTATCTGAAAATCCAAATTGTTTTGAATATTCAGGTTGGTTTTCATCTATAAAGCAAGGAGGTATTTCTTTCTTGTTTTTACGTATGGTACCCACAACAAAAAACTTATAATCCTTGGGCAAATCGTTCATCAGCGCACACTTTTATACCAATTGTCGATGGTAAGGTTTCTTCAAGTGCCATAAATTGGTGTAATTAGCCTCTTCCACGGCGTCTGCCGTAGCATTACTCAACTGGTATGGGCCTTCAGGGCTGCTTGCCAGCATAAAGTTCAATATTTAGGATGTAAAACGTAGCAGCATCTACTATTGGATAAAGTTTGATTCCGTATTTGTCGGGTTTTGATTTCATGCACTTTCGGAAAGGACATTTTCCTCGAAAGCCAACCACCATCTCATCGATTACAACTTTCTCTCCCACGGAATATGACAAAAGAGAGTTTGTTGTAAACATATCTAAAATTTCTCTTATCGGCGCAGCTTTGTCTAGAGTACAACGAGCTTGTCGCGTAGTAGCATCATCAAACCGCAATGAATTCAGTAGAAATTTTTCTCTTTTCACTGTAATAGTAGTAGGAAAAATAGGTATATCTGTCCCATCACTTGCATATAAATCTTCTAAATTGGCGTGTAATGTCTTCAAGGATCCCGCTATGTACAACAATCCGAAAAGTGCTCGAATTTCCACCGCATCTGTCGGTTTGCAGTCACGTATTCTGTTTACTTTATTTCTGTCACCTCCACACATTTCCTACGAGTGCCCGCATCTTCCGTGAGAATATTTTGAACTTGACGCCTCACTCTGTTATTGTTAGAGTTTTGCCATTTCGTTACTTTATCGCGCCCTGTAAAACAGCTACTTATTTCTGAATGTGGCAAATCATCCTCTTCTGAGTCGGAGCAGTTTGATTCCTCAGCAGATTGAGGTTCCTCCGCAACGATGTGGTCGGAAGTTTCAGAGCCTTGGATGCTGAGCTCTGATTCATTCTCTTCTTCGTCTTCTCTTAGTAATTCCTCGAGTATTGCACTTTGTGGTGACCGTCTAAGCCTCATTTTATATAAAAAAATCCAAGCTTAATTCCATAATATTGAATGATGGCCGAAGAATTACCACGAGCGTGAACGAGGGTAAGTCGCGTTGCGCGTCGCGCGTAACCGTTTCGACGACAGGCGCGTGTAGTCTTTTCGACGACTGCACCGGGACTAAAACAATTGTGATCTGTGGAGTGGAGGGAGCGCCCCGAATGACGGTTTATTCTTTATTTTACTCCCAATGACATAGTGACAAGCTACTATAAATGAGAAATAAATGTGATGGGTAATAATAATAATATGAACGAAAATGTACTAAGCGCGGTCGATTCGATTACGCGCGTCCGCTTGAAGGTTAACCGTGGGACTCATCAACACCATATCATCTGCGTAAATTATGTTGTTAAAACTTACATCGTCGATACGACATCCGACTTTTTTGCTGCTGAGTTCAACGATTAGGTCATTTATGTACAGGTTGTAAAGCTTTGGTGACGTAATTCCTCCCTGTCTGACCCCACATTGCAATCTGTACCTTTCAGAGAACTTATCGGTACATTTCACATTATTATACTGATTATTGTACCAGTACTGAAAAATCTTCAAAAACTCAGCTTGAATCTTTTTCTGGCGTAGCTTATCCCATAATATGTAATAATTTACAAGATCAAAAGCTCTGGAGAGATCTAAAAAACATGCATAAACAGGTGTACGTCGCTTTGTGTAATATTCAGCAGTGTGCTTTAGGGCTAAGATAGCATTCTCAGTAGACAATTCAGACCGAAACCCAAACTGTGCATTGTGCAACTCAATATAATTTTCCAGCTGTGTATCCAACAGGCTGTCAAGTATTTTGGCCATAATTGTTGCCAAAGATATGGGCCGATAATTACACTTATCTTCTACGTCACCTGTTTTATTTTTAACTATAGGCACAACTATTGTCCGCATAAGGTCGTGAGGCAGATACTAATAACAGAGACATGAAGAGAAGAACGTAGCGAGCAATCAAGGCAGGTGAGAAAAACACAGGACAAAAGGCTGTTAAGCACTTTGGTCAAGCGTGCATAAAACACGTCGCAAACTGACTGTTTCATACCAGTCTCATCGATACCGATATTTTGTGACATACTCAGGTATCGGTATATTTCAGCCTCGGAAAGGGTTCTTAAGTTGACGGGCATAGATAAGTCTATGCCTTCAGAGTTAGCAACCCTTTCCCTTTCAACATGGAGGACCGCACACTTATCCGTCCCCTGCTCCATTCCAATGGAATTGCTAAATTCACAAGTGATGTTTAGCAGTTCCATAAGATGGGAGCGACTGGAGGCGTATAACTTGAGGTCATCCATATAGAAAAGGTGGGTTACTTTTGTCCCTCCTTTCCGTAGCTGAAATACCCTCCCGGAGCCCTCCAGTAAGGTACTGAGAGGGTTCAGAGAGAGGCAGAAACAGATTGGACGCAGAAAATCGCCCTGGAAGATACCCCTTCTTATCCTTATGTGGTTCTCCGCAGCCGTCATCCGCTCGCCCAGATGAGAAAGGATCAAGTAGCAGTGTCTTGTATATGGTCGGTAGACACGTGATGGAGGAGGAGGAGGAGGAACCAAATGAGTGATCCCAATAGTGAAGAGGCTTGGGAGCGAATTCTGGTTGAGAGCCTCTTGAAACTGTCGGGCGAGCACAGAGTGACGCACCATGAACCCCTTCAGCTAGTAGTGATGCAGCCCGTCAAGCCCCGGACTTTTCCAATTTGGGGCCCTACGGACCGCCTCAGCTACGTCATCCGGTGTTATGATGACGGGGTCCATGGGCGTAATACCCGCACACTGACTCACCACAACTTCCGTCCAAGAGCCCTCGCTGTGGCTTACGGGCTCTGACCACAGGCCGCGCCAGAATGCAACAGTGTCAGCCTGATTCGGTGCTGGGCCCGTTCCACTTACTACTGGTCGCTCCAATGATGCATAGAGCCTCTTCTGATCACTCTGGAAGAGACGATTCTGGTTGAACCGCGTCGACCTCTCGGTATATCGCCGAATCCGCTTTCCCCTAACAGCGATTCTTTGCTTCAGATCATCTATGCGCTCCGTCAGTTTTTGCGTTATATCCGGCTGGGACAAAGCAAACGCCATCCTGACGGTGCGCACAATTCTTGACCTGTTATTGCCTGATTTGAAGCATATCAGTCTGCCGATGAGAGTTCTAGCCTTTGCGATACGTTCCTCAATTCTTCTTCTCCATGCTGGGATAGCGCTACTATGGCCAGTAGCGCGTCCAGCCGTGGATACCTTGGAGCCTATGATACGGCAGACTGCCAGCGCGGCGCCAAAACGAATTGAGTCCGTCTCGCAAAAGTCCCGGCTGGCTTCCAAATAGGTCACCAGCATTGGGTTCAGAGCCCTCACGACAGCCTGATTCCGCTTACTTAGGGCTATACGGGGAAGTCGCGGTCGATTTTCGAGAGGCGTACTGCGCGTTTCCAAAATCGCCTCTTCCAATGTACTCCTCATATGCTCTTATTCCAGTTCCTGGGCGACTGTTCCATCATCGTTTGAATCAACCACAACTGGGGTATTCACGGCGGCATCCACGTTTGCGGGTTGCTCTATCACTTGTGGCGCTGCATCCTCAGCCGTAGCATTTTCATCCCATGAGGGAACAGCCTCACGTCGTAACCGTTCGAGTTCGGCGACATCAAATATATTTGAGCGCAAGATATACCGAACTCTGTCTGGTCCGGTCTGTCAGGTTTTGCTCTGTGACGGTTAAAGGTGGCTCCAGCTCAGCAAAAAGACGATGCATCCTAGCCCGGTACGCCAAACATCCAGTTTCTTCCCCTTTTGCCCTAAAGTACGCCCGCAGTGCGTTTGTATTCATTGCTTGTGACCAACGCATGCGACGTGCTCCACCAGCAGCGGGTGCCGCTTGCTGAGTCCGAGAAGACCCAGCCGACACCAAGCCTTCTGGTGGGGATGATGGATGCGGAGGGCTACTAGGTGACCGTGCAGCTCCTCGCGCTCGGCTGGCGGCCCGCATGCTGCCGCGTCCAGAGCCAGCTCCAGACGCGCCCCGGCGAGCCCCGGGCAGCGGCCCTTTGCGCACTATCTTCTTATCCATCATCCATTATTTGGGCGTCCATTAACGGGAGACGCCGTGTGGCCATAAGCACAGACGGGCCTTTGCACCCTAAATTCTGCCGAGGCACGGCGCTCACACCTCTCGCAAGGCGCTGACTGACTGCGTTGACGTAGCAGTTTTGTCACTTAACTGTTACGTCAGCGGGCGATGGGGTCGTCAATTCCCTACGCCATTAAAATTATTATTGTGGGGTATCTATATAGTTTTCTCATCTGGTTGGGTTCTATAAATATATAATTATAAATGAAAATGAAAAGATAAATATACATATATATCAATAACATAAAATAAATATAAAAGTACATATATAAATAAAAGCCCAACCAGATGAAGGACCTCGGCAGGGGAGACCAAACGGCCGAGGGTTAGGGGGAAAGGGAAAGAAACCGGCAGACGATGCGGGCGTTATCGAGGAGCACCGCCTTCTGCATTTGAGCCCGGAGCGGTCCGCCACGTAGTCCCAGCCGCCTCAGATGACCCGAGAAGCTAACTGGGATTAGCACATTCGCAGAGACGACTACAGGAATAATTTCGGTCGGCAGACTACCCCACATGTCGGTCACCTCGTGAGCCAGGTCCAGATATTTTGTTTGCTTCTCTGTTTCGGCTTTCACAAGGTTCTCGTCATACGGAACGGTAATGTCGACCAAAAATATCCATCAATCCCATCCATCCATAAATTATTATTATTATTATTGGGGTATCTATATAATTTTCTCATCTGGTTGGGATGCATAAATATATAATTGTAAATGAAAATGAAAGGATAAATATACATAAATATCAATAAAATAAAATAAATACAAAAATACATAAATAAATATAAGCCCAACCAGATGGAAGCCCTCGGCAGGGGAGACCAAACGGCCAAGGGTTAGGAAGAAAGGGAAAAAAACCGGCAGACGATGCGGGCAGTATCAAGGAGCACCGCCTTCTGCATTTGAGCCCGGAGCGGTCTGTCACGGAGTCCCAGTCGCCTCAGATGACCAGAGAGGCTAACTGGGATTAGCACATTCGCAGAGACGACTACAGGAATAATTTCGACCGGCAGACCACCCCACATGTCGGTCACCTCGTGAGCCAGGTCCAGATATTTTGTTTGCTTGTCTGTTTCGGCTTTCACGAGGTTCTCGTCATACGGAATGGTAATGTCGACCAAAAATATCCTTGACTGTGCCCGGTCCATCAGCACAATATCATACTTATTCGCAAGAATAGTCCTGTCTGTGATGATGGCCCGGTCCCAGTAGAGCCTGGCGCGGTCATTTTCGAGCACGGCTTCCGGCAAGTACTTGTAATACGGAAATTTCCGGTCCACGAGACCGTATTTCAGAGCGAGCTCCTGGTGTAGAATTCTGGCTACTAGGTTGTGCCTGTGCAAGTACTCAGAGTTAGAAAGCGCCGAACAACCGGAGATGACATGCCTAAGTGACTCACCGGGATGGCGACAAGCTCGACAGATGTTGACGGTGCCATCCTTTAGGATGTATCTCCGATAGTTGTTGGTCTTAATAACCTGATCCTGTATTGCACAGACAAAACCCTCGGTTTCCCCGAAGAGGTCACCGAAACGTAGCCAGTTGAGGGAGGCAACTGTATCTACGAAGGGCTCATGTAGAGTCTTGTCTCCTTCCATACGGTCTCCCGGTCGGAATTGCTAAGCACTGCTGGGTCCTGCCATTGCTCGTTGGCTAAGGATAGAGGGGTAAGCCCTTTATCACTAGAAATGACGTCATTATAGAATGGATCATCCGATCTCGCCAAGAAGTACTGACGGAGACTGCACACTTCGCGATTATGCATGGTGAGCGCGCTCAGAAAGCCACGCCCACTATAATTTCGCGGCAAGTACAGCCTCATTACCGACGATCTCGGATGATGCATCCTATGGGACGTCATGGTAGTGCGGACTTTTCTATCCAGGGCGTTAAGCTCAGTCTGAGTCCACCTGAGTATGCCAAAGGTATACATGAGGACAGGCATGACACAGTCGTTATATGCGTGTGTCTTATTCACACCGGACAAAAGGCTGTTAAGCACTTTGGTCAAGCGTGCATAAAACACGTCGCAAACTGACTGTTTCATACCAGCCTCATCGATACCGATGTTCTGTGACATACCCAGGTATCGGTATGTTTCAGCCTCGGAAAGGGTTCTTAGGTTGACGGGCATAGACAAGTCTATGCCCTCAGAGTTAGCAACCCTTCCCCTTCAAACATGGAGGACCGCACACTTATCCCTCCCCAGCTCCATTCCAATGGAACTGCTAAATTCACAAGTGATGTTTAGCAGTTCCATAAGATGGGAGCGACTGGAGGCGAATAACTTGAGGTCATCCATATAGAAAAAGGTGGGTCACTTTTATCCCTCCTTTCCGTAGCTGAAATCCCCTCCCAGAGCCCTCCAGTAAGGTACTGAGAGGGTTAAGAGAGAGGCAGAACCAGATTGGACTCAGATAATCGCCCTGGAAGATACCTCTTCTTATCCTTATGTGGTTCTCCGCAGCCGCCATCCGCTCGCCCAGATGACAAAGGATCGTACTCCACTGCCTCATACACTGCACGAGGAAGTCTCTAACTATACAGTCAATCTTGTACAGCTCGAGGACCCTCTTTAGCCATATATGGGGCACCGAGTCGAACGCCTTTCTGTAGTCTATCCAGGCGGCAGAGAAGTTCCGACGGTTGCGTTTCACCACTTTGCCTATGACCGCGTCAATGAGGAGTGGTTCCTTAGTTCCACGACCACCGCCCCGACATCCATTTTGAGCGCGTGACATCACCTGGTTTAGCTCCAGGTGACGAGTGATTCTCGCGCTCAAAATGGATGTCAGTGTCTTATATATGGTGGGTAGACACGTGATGCGGCGGTATTTGCTCGGGTCTGTGGTATCCTGATCTTTAGGAACCAAGTGAGTGATCCCAGTAGTGAAGAGGCTCGGGAGTGACTTCTGGTCGAGAGCCTCTTGAAACTGTCGGGCGAGCACAGCGTGACCACAGGAACCACGCCAGAATGCGATAATGTCAGCCTGATCCGGTCCTTGGCCCGCTCCACATATCTTTGGTCGCTCCAATAATTTATAGAGCCTCTTCTGATCACTCTGGAAGAGACGATTCTTGTTGAACCAACTTGACCCCTCGGAAAATCGTTAAATCCGCTTCCCCCAGGCCGCGATCTTTTGCTTCAGGTCGTCTATGCGCTCCGTTAGTTTCTGCGTGATATCCGGCTGGGACAAACTGATATTTGTCCCAGCAAACGCCATCCTAACGGTGCGCATAATCTTCGGTCTATTATTACCCGACCTGAAGCTTGTCAGTTTGCCGATAAGGGCCCTTGCCTTTGCGATACGGTCCTCGATTCTTTTCCTCCAGGCTGGGATGGCGTTAGTTTGTGTCGTAGCACGTCCAGCCGTGGGAAGTTTGGCGCCAATAATACTACTATTATTATTATTGTTATGGGGTATCTATATAGTTTTCTCATCTGGTTGGGTTTTATAAATATATAATTATAAATGAAAATGAAAAGATAAATATACATAAATATCAGTAACCTAAAATAAATATAAAAGTACATAAATAAGTAAAAGCCCAACAAGATGGAGGCCCTCGGCAGGGGAGACCAAGCGGCCGAGGGTTAGGGGGAAAGGGAAAGAAACCGGCGGACGATGCCGGCGGTATCGGGGAGCACCGCCTTCTGCATTTGAACCTGGAGCGGTCCGCCACGTAGTCCCAGCCGCCTCAGATGACCCGAGAGGCTGACTGGGATTAGTCCGTTTGCAGAGACGACTACAGGAATAATTTCGGTCGGCAGACCACCCCACATGTCGGTCACCTCGTGAGCCAGGTCCAGATATTTTGTTTGCTTGTCTGTTTCGGCTTTCACGAGGTTCTCGTCTTACGTAATGGTAACGTCGACCAAAAATATCCTTGACTGTGCCCGGTCCATCAGCACAATATCAGGCTTATTCGCAAGAATAGTCCTGTCTGTGATGATGATGGCCCGGTACCAATAGAGCCTGGCGCGATCATTTTCGAGCACGGCTTCCGGCAAGTACCTGTAATACGGCAATTTCCGATCCACGAGACCGTATTTCAGAGCGAGGTCCTGGTGTAGAATTCTGGCTACTAGGTTGTGCCTGTGCAAGTACTCAGAGTTAGAAAGCGCCGAACAACCGGAGATAACATGCCTAAGTGACTCACCGGGATGGCGACAAGCTCGACAGATGTCGACGGTGCCATCCTTTAGGATGTATCTCCGATAGTTGTTGGTCTTAATAACCTGATCTTGTATTGCACAGACAAAACTCTCGGTTTCCCCGAAGAGATCACCAAAGCGTAGCCAGTGGAGGGAGGCTACTGTGTCTACGAAAGGCTCATGTAGAGCCTTGTAGAACCTCCCGTGGAGCTCCTTCTCCTTCCATACGGTCTCCCGGTCGGAAATGCTCTGCACTGCCAGTTCTTGCCATTACTCGTTGGCTAAGGATAGAGGGGTAAGTCCTTTATCACAAGAAATGACGTCCTTATAGAATGGATCATCCGATCTCGCAAGGAAGTAATCACGGAGGCTGCACACTTCGCGATTATGCATGGTGAGCGCGCTCAAGAAGCCACGACCACCATGCTTCCGCGGCAAGTACAGCCTCATTACCGACGATCTCGGATGATGCATCCTATGGGACGTTATCGTAGTGCGGACTTTTCTATCCAGGGCGTTAAGTTCAGTCTGAGTCCACCTGAGTATGCCAAAGGTATACATGAGGACAGGCATGACCCAGTCGTTATATGCGTGTGCCTTATTCACACCGGACAAAAGGCTGTTAAGCACTTTGGTAAAGCGTGCATAAAACACGTCGCAAACTGACTGTTTCATACCAGCCTCATCGATACCGATGTTCTGTGACATACCCAGGTATCGGTATGTTTCAGCCTCGGAAAGGGTTCTTAAGTTGACGGGCATAGATAAGTCTATGCCCTCAGAGTTAGCAACCCATCCCCTTTCAACATGGAGGACCGCACACTTATCCGTCCGCAGCTCCATTCTAATAGAATTGCTAAATTCACACGTGATGTTTAGCAATTCCATAAGATGGGAGCGACTGGAGGCGAATAATTTGAGGTCATCCAGATAGAAAAGGTGGGTCACTTTTGTACCTCCTTTCCGAAGCTGAAATCCTCTCCCGGAGCCCTCCAGTAAAGTACTGAGAGGGTTCAAAGAGAGGCAGAACCAGATTGGACTCAGACAATCGCCCTGGAATATACCCCTTCTTATCCTTATGCGGCTTTCCGCAGCCGTCATCCGCTCGCCTAGATGACAGAGTAACGTACTTCACTGCCCCACACACTGCTCGAGGAATTCTCGAACTGTACAGTCAATCTTGTACAGCTCGAGGACCCTCTTTAGTCATGTATGGGGCACCGAGTCAAATGCCTTTCTGTAATCTATCCAGGCGGCGGAGAAGTTCCGACGGTTGCGTTTCACCACTTTGTCAATGACCGCGTCAATGAGGAGTGGTTCCTTGGTTCCACGACCGCCGCACCGACATCCATTTTGAGCGCGCGACATCACCTGATTTAAGTCCAGGTGACGAGCGATTCTTGCGCTCAAAATGGATGTTAGTGTCTTGTATATGGTCGGTAGACACGTGATAGGGCGGTATTTGCTCGGGTCTGTGGCACCCTGATCTTTAGGAACCAAATGAGTGATCCCAGTAGTGAAGAGGCTTGGGAGCGACTTCTGGTTGAGAGCCTCTTGAAACTGTCGGGCGAGCACAGAGTGACACACCATGAACCCCTTCAGCCAGTAGTGATGCAGCCCGTCAAGCCCCGGACTTTTCCAGTTCGGGGCCCTAAGGACCGCCTCAGCTACGACATCCGGCGTTATGATGACGGGGTCCATGGGCGTAATACTCGCACATTGACTCGCCACAACTTCCGTCCAAGGGCCCTCGTTGTGGTTTACGGGCTCTGACCACAGGCTGCGCCAGAATGCGACCATGTCGGCCTGATTTGGTGCAGGGCCCGTTCCACTTACTATTGGTCGCTCCAATGATTTACAGAGCCTCTTCTGATCACTCTGGAAGAGACGATTCTGGTTGAACAGTGTCGACCTCTCGGTATATCGCCGAATCCGCTTTCCCCAAGCAGCTATTCTTTGCTTCAGGTCGTCTATGCGCTCCGTCAGTTTTTGCATTATATCCGGCTGGGACAAACTAACATTTGTCCCAGCAAACGCCATCCTGACGGTGCGCACAATCCTTGGCCTGGTATTGCCTGACCTGAAGCATATCAGTCTGCCGATGAGGGGCCCTAGCCTTTGCGATACGTTCTTCAATTCTTATTCTCCAGCCTGGGATAGCACTACTTTGTCCAGTAGCGCGTCCAGCCGTGGAAAGTTTGGCACCTATAATACGGTAGACTGCCAGTGCGGCGCCAAAAAGAATTGAGTCCGTATCGCAAAGGTCCCGGCTGGCTTCCAAATAGGTAACCAGCATAGGGTTCAGAGCCCTCACGACAGCCCGATTCCGCTTGCTTAGGGCTAAGCGGGGGAAGTCGCGGTCGATTTTCGAGAGTCGTACTGCGCGTTTCCACAATCGCCTCTTCCAATGTACTCCTCATTTGCTCTAGTTCCAGTTCCTGTGCGACTGTTCCATCATCGTTTGAATCAACCACAACTGGCGTATTCACGGCGGCATCCACATTCGCCGTTTGCTCAGCAAGTTGTGGCGTCGCATCCTCAGCCGCAGCGTTTTCACCCGATGAAGGAACAGCCTCACGTCGTAGCCGTTCGAGTTCGGTGACATCAAATGTATTTGAGCGCAAGATCTACCGAACTCGGTCTGCCAGGTTTTGCTCGGTGACGGTGACAGATGGCTATAGCTCAGCAAAAAGTCGATGCATCCTTGCCCGATACACAAAACCTCCAGTTTCTCCCCCTTTCGCCCTAAAATACGCCCGCAATGCGTTGCTGTTCATCTGGGTTGTCCAACGCATGCGGCGTACTCCACCAGTGGCGGGTGCCGATTGCTGAGCCCGCGAAGACCCTGCCGACACCAAGCCAGCTGGTGGGGATGATGGATGCGAGGATCTGCTGGGTGGTCGTGCAGCACCTCGCGCTCGGCTGGCGTGCATGGATTTGCGCGTTCCATTTGATTCCATCATCCATTTTAGGGCGTCATTTAGCGGGAGACGCCCAGACCCGGCGCCGTTTCATGGTTAGGCCATGTGCACAAGCGGGCTTTGGCACCTTCAAATTTTGCCGAGGCACGGCACACACCTCTCGGCAAGGTGCTGACTGACTGCGCCGACGTAGCGGTTTTGTCACGTAACCGTTATATCAGCGGGCGATGGGGTCGTCACTTCCCTACGCCTTTTTATTCTTATTTATTATTTATTATTATAATTTTTGGGGTATCTGTATAGTTTTCTCATCTGGTTGGTTTCTATAAATATATAATTATAAATTAAAATGAAAGGATAAATATACATAAATATCAATAAAATAAAATAAATACAAAAATACACAAATAAATAAAGATCCAACCAGATGGAAGCCCTCGGCAGGGGAGACCAAACGGCCAAGGGTTAGTGGGAAAGGGGAAGAAACCGACGGACGATGCGGGCGGTATCGAGGAGCACCGCCTTCTGCATTTGAGCCCGGAGCGGTCCGTCACGGAGTCCCAGTCGCCTCAGATGACTCGAGAGGCTAACTGGGATTAGCCCGTTTGCAGGGACGACTACAGGAATAATTTCGGTCGGCAGACCACCCCACATGTCGGTCACCTCGTGAGCCAGGTCCAGATATTTTGTTTGCTTATCTGTTTCGGCTCTCACGAGGTTCTCGTCATACGGAATGGTAATGTCGACCAAAAATATCCTTGACTGTGCCCGGTCCATCAGCACAATATCAGGCTTATTCGCAAGAATAGTCCTGTCTGTGATGATGGCCCGGTCCCAGCATAGCCTGGCGCGGTCATTTTCGAGCACGGCTTCCGGCAAGTACTTGTAATACGGCAATTTCCGGTCCACGAGACCGTATTTCAGAGCAAGCTCCTGGTGTAGAATTCTGGCTACTAGGCTGTGCCTGTGCAAGTACTCAGAGTTAGAAAGCGCCGAACAACCGGAGATGACATGCCTAAGTGACTTCCCGGGATGGCGACAAGCTCGACAGACGTCGACGGTGCCATCCTTTAGGATGTATCTCCGATAGTTGTTGTTCTTAATAACCTGATCCTGTATTGCACAGACAAAACCCTCGGTTTCCCCAAAGAGGTCACCGAAACGTAGCCAGTTGAGGGAAGCGACTGTATCTACGAAGGGCTCATGTAGAACCCTGTAGTACCTCCCGTGGAGCTCCTTCTCCTTCCATACGGTCTCCCGGTCGGAAATGCTAAGCACTGCTGGGTCCTGCCATTGCTCGTTGGCCAAGGATAGAGGGGTAATCCCTTTATCACTAGAAATGACGTCATTATAGAATGGATCATCCGATCTCGCCAGGAAGTAATGACGGAGGCTGCACACTTCACGATTATGCATAGTGAGCGCGCTTAGAAAGCCACGCCCACCATGCTTTCGCGGCAAGTACAGCCTAATTACCGACGATCTCGGATGATGTCATGGTAGTGCGGACTTTTCTATCCAGGGCGTTAAGCTCAGTCTGAGTCCACCTGAGTATGCCAAAGGTATACATAAGGACAGGCATGACCCAGCCGTTATATGCGTGTGTCTTATTCACACCGGACAAAAAGGCTATTAAGCACTTTGGTCAAGCGTGCATAAAACACGTCGCAAACTGACTGTTTCATTATTAGTATTATTATTATTATTATGGGGTATCTATATAGTTTTCTCATCTGGTTGGGTTCTATAAATATATAATTATAAATGAAAATGAAAAGATAAATATACATAAATATCAATAACATAAAATAAATATAAAAGTACATAAATAAGTAAAAGCCCATTATTATTTATAGATTATTATTATTATTATTATTATTCGGTGGCTTGTATGGTCTTAAGGAAAGTCGTTTATTTATGTAGCCAATCTTGTCTGCAATTATTTTCATGGTGCTACGCATAGAATACTGCATCTCAGTTGTAATTAGGAAGCTAGAAGAGAACTACATTCGCCCGCCCGCAAAATAAGCAGTATTATTCACACAATGCCTTTTATCATGCCAGTAAATCGTTTATCCTTATATACTTTCCTTTTCTATCCTATCTTGTCCTTACCTAACCTATTCTATCGTGTACCATTACCCTTACAGTCTATTAAAGTCCAATAATGAAATAGTATTAACGTCTATCGTGTACTAATCCTATCCTATCCCATTCCATCCAATTCTATTTTATTCTATTCTATGCTATGGAACGTATTACACACAGTACATGGTTGGAGTCAGGGCTCTTTTTCAGAGAGTCCGTGGTGATTACTATATTTGTTTAGTAGATAAAAATGCAAATCTTTCGACGTTGTTTCGGCGACGATGTTTCATTAAATAAATCACGTATGAAGCCCCAAAATAAAGGTACTAGCTACAAAAATAAATTATAATCTTTATTAAGAATACACACAAAAAAATTATGCGAATAGGGGAAATTACACTAAAGCATGTAGTATAGCTTGGCGGGAGTGATAAAATTAAGAATTATTAATTTAATCTATACGGTCAAAAATAGATTTTGTGGATCGTACGGGCTGCGTACGTAACTTACCGAATAAAGAAATGACATAATATAGTGTAATTCGTATTTCGCTAATGACGTCATAAAGTATTTGCACGGTGTTTTCAATGGAGTTCGGTCTTTCTAAAGATTTTATAATAGGGACATCGTTATTCAAGATGGGGATACAATTTATAATTTATCTATTTTCTGTATCGGAGCAAAATTGAACTTGATTTAATATGAAAGAAATATGTCCAGCAACTGTTCGGTGATACAAGGCACTGACAGAATAAATATCTACAAAAGAGCCGACACTTTTTTTAAAAGGCCGACAGCACAATGGGTGTTGCAGTTGTCCATGGCGGTTCATGGGTGGGCGGAGGTAGCCACTTACCATCAGGTGAGCCGCATGCCCGTTTGTGTATTATCTGTAAAATAAGTTGCCGAGTATGGATGCTTTTCGTTGCTACACATGTTATGTAAATTGGCGTATATAATTTTTTTAATTGCTTTGTAGTTGAACTTTTTAATAATTTCTTACATTTACGCGAACACGAAACTAAAAATAAGTAATTTCAAAGCAATACGTAAAAATAGTAAGAAGTACCCTTAACCGGCGAGCATGTATGCATGCACGTAGGTACATGAATGTGAAGGAGGCGCGAGAGGTGTGTCAGGGTCGTGCCAAATGGAAGCATGTAGTCTCTGCCTACTCTGTCTACTGCTCTGGGTAACAGGCGTGGGTGTTTATGTTATGTAAAATTCCTTTTTATTACGTGTTGTATGTGACGTATAAATTATTCATTTATTCAATACTCACCGATTGTCCGGTTGTCCGATAGCGTATTTTGTGTGGGTGTCGCTTCTTACAACACTCTCGGGAGCGTAATAAAGGGTAGGGGTCCTCACGTGCCACTACACGTCATTAAGTAGAATATTATTAAAATGAAAAAGTAAATGTGTGTTGCTAATGAGTAGTAGAGCCATGCTGCAGTTATATTAGTAGTATAGTTGTAGCACGAATGGGTCGGCTCGACCGGGGAAGGATCACGCTCTCGCAGAATACCAGCGTGAAATAGCAGCTTAATGCTGCTGTGCTTCATATGGTAAGTGTAGAGAACCGGAGACCCTTTTTACTGGAAACGAGGCATTCCATATTAGTCCTCACGGATGACAACGCATCTGCATTTTGATATGTAATCGAGTAGATATATGTAGATGTCTATGGGCCGCAGCAACCACTTACCATCAGGTGGACTGTGTGCTCGTTTGTCACCCTATCCTATAAAAAAAAAAAAAAAAATAAAGAGTAGACATATTGAACGGGAGTACGGAAGCTTGATAGAAGCGTTTTGCAGCGCACTCACACACGTGCAGTTTCACCTACAGTATTCCATCACAGCCTAAAAGTCCACAGCTGAACATAAGGCTCTTCTACATATTGGCTCAATGGGAGCATTTTGCCATAGTTGCCACGCTTCGCAGGCGGGTCAGCAACCGCATTTTTTATTAGTTTGAGTTATTATCAGGAATATGCTGCTGCCCATCTTCCATTTAATTTACCTCTATTGCCTTTTAGCCAAAGTATACCTATCGTTTCACCTACAGTAGCAGTAGAGATAAAAACGCGAAACCAGTACCTGCAGTACCAAATATTGTTATTTTCTCTGTCTGCTACATTTAGTGAAATTGCGTTTATGTGCGTGAATTGCAATACGTTTACTCTGTTTATACTCTGATAAATATTTGTTTTTCCATTTCTAAGACATAGAAATTTTTCCACGACGTTTTCATTTACTACCGAAAACGTGGTAAATTAGCAATTACGTTGATACTATCCAGTGATTTTGCGAAAGAATTACATGATTTAAATTTACTTTCCACCGTCGGACAATAGACTGTTCCATTGACAAACAAGCACTCATCACACTTTTTGGTAAGTGAATGCTTTGGCCCACAGGCATTTACATTTATTTCCAGTTAAAAATCAAAATGTAGATATGTTTTCACCCCTGAGAAATAACATGGAATGTCCCGTTTCCAGTAAAATAAATAATCTACAGTACAGCTCGGACTTTGGTCTTCTCTCCTGCACAGCTTGAAAAGCTTTGGGTAATGCAACTGTAGTATACCATTCGGAGTTGAGACCTACAATTTTCTAGTATTGACGTCAACAAATGTCCGCTCCGCGAAAAAAAACTGGACGACATTTTTCTTGTAAATCTTTGCAGTTTTGTCGGTAACTGTCCTTCTGAGTAGACTCATACCAATGATTGCCTTTTATTTTCCGAATCATATTGATAGATCCAATTGCAGATGCCCCGTTTTCAAAACGTAGATGCATTTCATGGCACCAATCCACACGAGTGTTTTTTGCTTTCGAAAAGCAAACGAGGGATCCATCGACAACAAAGCACCCTCACTCCAAGATGTTGATGTAGGATGGTAGGAATGCTCCCCGAACTAATGAACTACAATCTTTTTGATGTTCGTATATGTGATTCGTGGGTCTTCTCGCACCAACATTTCAGTAGTCCATACATTTTCTGCCGTTACCTCTTTTTACGGGGTCCCGGTTCTTTAGCCATCTTTAAGGCTAATTTTACCCCTCTTGAATTCAGAAAACCACCTAAAAACTGTTGCGCGTGATAGAGGAGTCCGCTAATGCTGATTTTAACCGTTGTGAAATTAATTATTCACAACGCTTACAATCAGTATCAATCAAGTTGCAGAAAAATTTATAGAACTTTGTTTTTTTTTTTAATATTGAGCAATTGGCTTATGGAGTTCTATTTTTAAATAAATTTTCTTTTTAGAAACATATAACACGGGTGCGTTCCATTTTTAAATTTCGAGCATCTCAAACTTATTGAGTGACCTACGTAAAACACTCGGGCTGGCGACGTTCAGCAGCGACAAAGGTGCGTCTGGCACTGCAATCAGTACTCCGCTCGTCATCGCCAGGCACGACTACTAAAACAAATTCTCCCTAAATGGAGAGAGGTTTATGTTCAGCAGTAAATTTTTACTGTCCGATGATGATAATGAATGATGAGAATGATGTCCTCCTAGTCAATAAAAATCTATCAGCTTTTCGGGAAGTATCGGTTCCACAAGGTGCGCGTAAACAGAGGCAATTATTCACCAACATTTGTGCGAGATACAAAACTAATGTACAGCAACAAGCAAACGTAACAATTATGTCGTGTGGCGTTGTGCTTATGCGGTGAAATAAAAATTTTCTTTCTTTGTTTCTTTGTTCTTTCTAATGTAATAGGATTTTAAGAAGACAATGAAAGTGGTATAGCTTAAACTGCATCAGTTTATTAATAAACTACCAATAAGATAAAGCAGCATAATGCTGCTGTGTTTCGTAGGTTGTATTAAGAAAACCGGACACCATTTTTACTAGTAGCGAGGCATTCTAAATTAGTACTTAGCGAAGACAACGCATCTGCATTTTAATTTTTTATCGAGGATTGATGTATCTGTAGACTACAGCATTTATTTTCCAGCATATCTGTGCAATTGTTTATGAAAATTACTTATATGCCAACGTTTTTAATTATATAATGTATTATAAATACATTTAATGCAATATCTTAAAGCAAGACCTTCGTTAACATTGCTAATTCAGAGTAAGTACTCAAACTAAAACATAGAATACAAAATTTATCCTCGGACGGGTGTCCGCTCCACTTCTTTTATAAATACGTTTCCAGAATTAATCTCAAAATGCAGACGTTTCTTGCGTGTGCTAGATTACGAATAATTTTAGAATTAAATTTTAGTTACGATTAATAATTATTTAATCCATTTGTGAATTAATTTTGATGTTTTAAGAATTGTTAATTTGTTACTACTTCCGGTTTTGTAATATATGTTATGTATATTGTAATAAATGTATTAAAATAGCCTAAAATGTTTATTTGGATTTAAAAAATGTATTTCATATTTTTGAATGTGTTTAAGTAAGGATTTTAGTTCCTTTATTTTATTACTTGTATGTGTTAAACCGTTTCGGGCCACGTGTTTTCTTAAATATATTTATTCTGCAAATTAATTGTAGAAAACTGTAAAAAAAGGTTTTAAAATGATTTTATTTAATGGTTAATAATGTTTATAATTTGATTGTAAATATTTAGATGTGTTAAAAATTGTTCAATTGTAAAAAAATAAAAGCGATATTGGCGGTAATCTTATAATACTCCGAATTCAAAGAAATTCGTTACAGTACTTGGTTATGCTTCGTATTAGCAAGTTAAGTATATTTTTATTATGTCTTATTTTATTGTACTTTTGCTTATTGTGTCTTTTGTTAAAATATGTGTGAAGATATTTCATCTATATATATATATATATATATATATATATATATATATATATATATATATATATATATATAATTTTAAATTGGCTAAATTCTTTTCATAATTTGTCCCTTGTTATACAGAAGATTTTAATAGTTCCTTTTAGTTAAATAGGAGAATTTAAGTTTATTACTGAGCAGATCTTTTTCCTAGCTAATTTTGTTGTTTAATTTTCCATGAAAACAGCACCAGAAGTGGGATCACCCGTGCTTTGGTTAATCATTTTATTTTAAATATTTCAGGGATTTTTTTTTGAATATGGATGTGGAATTGGTGAAAGAGCTGTTGGAAACCATCCAAAATACAATGGTTTCAAATAAGCGGCAAGACGACGTAGTGGTGCCGATTTTCAACTCGGACAAAAGCAACGACGGAGCAGCGGCCTGGTGCGAAAGCTTTGATAAGTTGGGAGACGAGTTAAAATGGAGCAGCTTTGAGAAGGTAAGCCGGTAAGGCCCTTCGGGGCTCTGCATTATCCTGGTTTGACACGTGGGAGCCTGAGATAGGTGGGAAGAATTAAAAAAAAGATATTATTTCTGTTTACCCACAAAGGAAAAATCTTAGTGAGAAACTGTCAAGTGCTGTGTTATACACGTCGGATTCCACAGATTTTTCGATGGTTATTCTAGGGAGAAATTAAGACTATTAAAATCTACTAAAATATGTTTTACTAAGAGCCAACTAATAGAGCTTGTTTGCGGTGGAATTAGTGACGTAAATGTAAAAATGGCTAGTTTAAATAGATCTGTGGAGTCAATGGCCGATCTTATTTCTTTACTTTCAACTTACACAAAATTGCCAAAAAAGGTCGTTTTAACAGTGGTCGCGTAACAATTTACCAGGTCCTAGTAACTCTAAACGTTTTAAATATAATTCGTCTCCATATCATTATAAAAATCAAAGTAAATCTAACTCTAAATCAAAATAAGTTGTTGATAACCGGGCAAAAAGTACTCAATATCCTCAAAATTCCGTAAAATGTAATTTTTGTAAAAAGACCCGCCATGATGAAAGTAAATGTTATTTAAAACATTCTTGTTCGTATTTTAAAAAAACAAGGTCATAGCGAAAATAAATGTTTTAAAAAATCGCAGATAAATCATAACGCGTCAGCTAACAACATTACCTCACAAAAAATAATACATAGTGACTAGGCTTAAATTTAACGCTGATTCGTATAAATGGCCCTGATATAAATTCATTAATTGATACTAGGCCGAGCTGCAATATAATTAGGGAAAGCATTGTAAGACGGTTAAGTTGCCGCCTCACTCCTTGTTCTGTATATTTAGACGATGTAGGAAACGGAAAACTAGACGCCTTTTCGACTGTGACCTTACCCATAAAAACCGAAGATATTTGTCTTGAATTGATGTTTTATGTTGTCAGAGATGATCATTTTAATTATGACTGTTTTATCGGAAAAAAAAATCGTTCAATATCGCTATTATTAGACTCCCATGGCAATAGGTTAATACGTAACCCTTTTCCGCCGTTAAATGTAAATACTGTCACTAAGTCATAAGCGCTGCTGAAGTACCTGCGGTAGTATACCTCGAAAGGCAATCCTTTTTGGTATCACATCACTCTCTTATTATTTATGTTTTCCATCTTCTACCTTATAACACTTATTTTACAAAATAAGATCATGTAACTTTTAATTTAAATTATTCTACAATTTCAAATTTTCCGCAATGTTCTTTTGAATATTTCAAATACTTCATCTGACCCCTCAGTGAAATTTGATACTATCTGATTAAATAATGGCCCGAATTGCTGAGATCGGAACTTTGCGTCTCAGGTGAAGAAATCTCTTTGTTGCGAATCGTTCGTTAAATTGAAAACGTGGTTCGGTTTTAATCTAAAGAAACAATCTTTTTGTTGCCGCCGACAAAGAAAGTCACAGCAATAAATGACTTGAAAATCATGTTATAATTTTGTGAGTATAATTTTATGCAACTCCAATTTTCCACATCCCCTATGAACGAAGTAACAATAATAATAATTTTCTTTAGGCCGAATTTCTGTCACGGAGGCCAGTCTGGTCTGGTCATCTGGGCTGGACAGGATTATAGTGCCCAAGTGTATGTGCGAACATAGGTGCACTCTCCATTCTTTCACGCTTATAGTCCGATGGGATAGTAAACCGACATGACTGGAGAGAGGTCAGGCGCAAGACCAAAGGCTTTACGTGCTTTCATAGGCACAGAGGTAAAATAATGCCGATTTCCTAACCGCAGCTGCTACTGAGAATTTATTGACAGAAAAACCCAATAACTGGTTTTGATCCGACCCGGGATTCAAACCCGGGACCTCATGATTAGCTATCGTGTTTACGATCACTTAACCAACTTTAATGCTTTAAACGATTTTATAGATTCAAGCTTCAACAGCTTTCGTAGCCCAGAGACAAACGGAAACAAAATTTTTGGTTCACATCATGCAAAGCAGCAAAAATTTCTTCATGACAGACACATGTTTTTATTTGACGGGGACTTTAATTTGACAGGGGTGCGAAGAATCTCCGGGAAAAAAACCGGAGACAAAGTTCGCTACCCATCATGTTCTGTCTTCCGGATGGGCGAAAAGAGGATTTCGGAAGACCGTGTGGCTACGGTGAATGAATGTGGAGCAATGAATGATAAGATGAATTAATTATGCGATATGATGTTTGATAGAGGAATACATATGTTCCTTGTAAAGGAGAAGAAACGGAAGGAAAAAGATGTCTCTACAAATGGCATTTAATCCGCGTACTGTTCTGATGTAGACGACACCGAGCGGGCATGGGGGGCGGGAAAGAGTATAAATGTGTAAACCCGAGACTGTTAAAGAAATTGTTTCTTTTAGAGGTCTACGCCCCAGACATGTCTAAGCCTATTTAATATTTATATGATATTTCTTAATATATATAAATTACGTGTCACGTCCACGAGTAACCCACAATTTTTTTGCTAATTTATGAATTTTTAATAGGACGTGACAAAGAGTCGAAAAGGGCAGAACAAGACGTATATATATATATATATCAGATATTAGGATGGATAAATTAATATAAGTGGAATGAATATATATAGAAATTTGAAAGGAAGGGTTAAAAACTTCTAATGAAAGATAGGCTATAAATAAAAATGACGCCATACCGTATAAAATCTATTGGCCGAGATTCAACACATGAGAAAATGTGATGATAAAAACATGTCATTGTGGATGAAAGAATGGGCAGCGTAGTGGTAAATACAAGGTTTACCGGGGGACCGACGTAGGGACGGTTCATTATTTTAACGAATTAATGGTCTATTCAGACGTCAGAGGCATCTTACATCCGTATCTACCACTGCGTTACTACATATAAGAACATAGACGTTACAAGAGGAAGGTGTGCAAGATAAGTACAAAAGTAGACTGAGAGAAATTGTATGTGGTTTGGATCAATTGATGTATGAATGTGTTAGACTTGGAGAATGAGAGGCATGGTGTACGTCTGATAACATTATATATTTGGCGTGGATAATTCACGTAAGAAGAGTCTTTAATAGATGATTACGCATCAACTTTTTATAAGCATACTTATTGGGAGAATTTCTGATGTCATTAGGAAAAAACTTCGCTGAACAAGTAAAAAATTAATTACCTACACATTTCTAGATATCTAAATTTAAATGTTTGTTCTTAAGCAAAACCACCATAAAGCTCCGTTATTGAAAATGTTGCATTAATTTAATTCAAATTTGTGCTGAAATTTCAATTACCTGTAATTAAGTAACTTCTAAAATACGTAAAACTGGTTCCATAACTTATATGAGAACACTTACACCGTTGGTAATAATTAACTACGCATCTGCGAGGAGAGTGTAAATCAAAGTCCTTTAGGAGAAAACTTAGAGAAATACTTGACAATAAATAACTTAATCAAATTACGACATCACAAGTTAGGAAAAGTTTTATTTTAACATAAAGCAATTATATTGTGTCTTTAGGTCCCAGTGTTGAGTAGGTACATCCTCCCCGATACTTCAGAATATTGGCGGACTGTGACTTTCTTTGTTTAAAGTTTGTTATTCAAGAGATGTAGCAGAAAACTACCTGTACGTGGACTGTTAGCTATTGTTCGAATCTTTTATATAAACAGTTGTAGGTACGAACATACATACACATGCGCATTTCAAAAATGTTTAATCGAATATAGAAAAGAAAAATAATAATTTGTTATCAAATATGCAATATAAAATTTATTTATAATTTAATATTGCATATTGTATACAAATTATATAGAAATTATCAAAGTTTTGTTTAATTTCTATTTGTTTCTATGTTACATCTTAGTTAATAAAAAGATCCGGTTACTAAACTTTGGTAGGTTTAGTTTAGTAGGAACGTGGAAAAAATGCGTAGCAACTCATACCGGACACTGGTGGTATAAGTCATGAAAAAGTAAGGTCATTATTTGATATCTTTCTTCTGATTTTCTTAAATAAATCACTAAGACTGAACATCAGCTTTACCTGTTTAGGTGTTGAGCTCACCAACTTACTATGCAGCGTGTTGAGATTTTGTTTCTATTAAAAGGGTGACAAATGAGTACATGGTTCAGATGATGATAAGTGACTGAGACCCTTAGGCATCTACATCTAAACTTGATTAAGATTCAAAATGCAGATGCGTTATTAATCCTGAGAACTAAGGTGGGGTCTCGTTTCACCGTGTTAACACTTCTTTTTTAAAAGCTCTACGTTATATGCAGCGAATATAGGCAGTGAATTAAAAATGTTAAATAAGCTATTTTTATGAATTTTATTCCATTTAATTTTCTCCTTTTTATTTCTCAATGTTTCGGGTGCTTCACAGCACTCCGGGTCACTGGGAGGGTGGAACCATATTATGTGTCCAAAATGTTACTACTGAATAAAGAATTAAACTGCTATTTAATGCTGGTATTCCATGAGAGCGTGATACATAATATATCTGCAACGTTGCTCTGTCATGTTAAAAAGCAAGTAATTGACACTTACTTTAATTGATTTCTATGTAATCAGCCTAATGAAACTAATTATGTAACATAACATAACATAACATAACATAAACACTCACGCCTGTCACCCAGAGGGGTAGGCAGTGACTACAGACTTCCATTTGGCACGATCCTGACACACCTCTCTCGCCTCCTTCACACCCATACACCTACGCATACATGCTCGTCGGTTAAGGGTACTCCTAATTTGGCCCGTTTTCAATAAATCGCCAATTTGGTCGATAAATTTTCCATTCACATTCATTTGCCATTGACATCTGCAACATAAATTTTCTTTGTCACTCTTTCTTCATTCATTCTTTCCACATGACCAAACTACCGAAGCATTCCTTTCTTAATCCTGGTCACAACATCATCTTGCAAACCACACTCTTCTCTTATTACACAATTTCTTACCCTGTCATTCAGATTCAGCCCTAACATACTCCTTAACGACCGCATTTCTACCGCGTTGATTCTACTCTCGTGCTTCTTCTGCCACACCCAACTTTCACTACCATACGTTAAAGTAGGGACCAACACAGCATTGTGAATTGCCAATACGTGCCTTTTTTTGACTCTTCACAACAGAGTGCAGGGCCCCATTTACTCTATTTCCCGCATTCACTCGTCGTTTTATATCCTTATCATATCTCCCATCCCTGCTAAATACGCAGCCCATATATACAAACTCATCTACTTGCTCGATTAACTCCCCTTCCATTCTTATTTCACAAATCACAGTCCGAGTAGACCCCGTTGATCCTAACACAAGCACTAGAGTCCCTATAAAGAGACTCCAATGCCTGTATCAAGCCAGCGCTCAACCGAAATGAGTTCAGTGTTTGCCATAGCACATCCCTATCCACTCTGTCATAGGCCTTTTCCAACTCCATGAACGCACAAAAAACCTTTTGGTTTTTGGCCAAAAACTTCTCCGCGATCATGCGCATGGAAAAGACTTGATCTGTACATCCTACTCCCTTTCTGAATCCCGCTTGCACATCCCAAATTTTTCCCTCAGTTTCCTTCATGACCCTTTCAATCAGTACCTTAGCATACAGTTTTCCCACAATGCTAAGAAGGCTGATGCCAGGGTAGTTTTTACAGTCCTGCTGCGACCCTTTTCCTTTATATACTGGGACTATCACGGCTTTGCACCAGTCTACCGGTACCCGCTTCAGTTCCCAGCATAAATTAAACAAGGTGTGCAGCAGGCCTGCCACGACTTCCTCTCCAGCCCTTAGCATTTCGAGTGAAACTCTATCATATCCGGCAGCCTTACCTGCTTTCATGCTTTTCATTGCTTTCATTATTTCATCTATACTTATCTCGCTACCTCTTTCCTCTTCTTTCGTAGTTTCTACTTCACTTAGTACATACGTTGTCTCCTCACTCATAAACACGCTTTCAAAATATTCCTTCCATCTCTTTAAACTCAAAACTTCATTTTTCAGAATATAGCCATTCTCGTCTCTTATAACATTCATCATAGGCTGTTTTGAATGTCCCCTGGCAGTTCTTACAAGTTTTCAGAACATTTTAATATTTGCCTGGAAGTTATCCGATATTCTTCTATCATTCTTATCCGTTCTTTCTTGCTTTTTTCTTTCAACTACTTCTTTTACTCTCTTATTAAGATGTTTAAAGACTGCCTTTTTTCTTTCAATATCATCATTCGTACCGCTAGAATTACCAGCCTTTGTTGCTAGTAAATCTAGCCATGCTCTCTTCTTTGCTTGAACTTCCATACGTATCTCATCATCCCACCATAACGTATTATTTTTCCTTTCATTCTTCCTCTTACCAACACCACATACTTCGGTAGCTGCATCCACTAAACCTTTCTTTACATTTTGCCATACATTCTGCAAGTCTAACTCCTTCATACATAATTCATCCAAACCACTTATATTTTCTTTCAGTCTACATTTGAACTTGTTTTTCTCACCTTCATCTTGTAACCTTTCTGTTCTAATACGCTGTAACGCACTGGTAGACACAGATGATCGATGGCGCCAACGCCTGAATAGACCATTAATTCGGCATAAAACCAAATAATGATCTGTTCCTACGTTAGAACCCCGGTAAACCCTTGTATCCACCACTGCGCCCCTCAATCTTTCATCCACAATTATGAAATCTATCATGCTTCTATCGTCACCTCTTTCCCAAGTATACATGTGAATCCTCTTGTGGCGAAAGCAAGTGTTCGTCACAAAAAGATTCTTTTCCATACATACGGTGAGGAGACTTTCACCATTCTCATTTATACTTTCATCACCAAACGTTCCCAATATCCTTTCATAACCAAGCCTCCTCACCCCAACCCTTCCATTAAAATCTCCTAGCATAATAATATTTTCATTTCCCTTACACTTCATTAACACCACCCTTACCATTTCCCAAAACTGCTCTCGGATATAAGTGGGCTTAGACATGTCTGGGGCGTAGACCCCTAACACAAACTAATTATGTGTACTAAAACTAATTATGTGTAGAGCATTATTAAGTAATGCGACTGGCAAACGACTCCGGTAAAGACAAACGCCTGAAATCGTAGTCTAACTTGCAGTCTACTGCCGCGTGTTGCAGCCTAAAGGTGTTAACATAATCCAGAGCCTTATCTGAAGTAGATAAGGTAATAAGTGATATCTTTAGGACTAAATAATACGCTGATTGAAATTGGTAATCCCTATTTTAAGTGCTGATTTATCAGATCCTTAAGAGTACTGGGATAATCTGTTAAGTTACCTACATGTTTATGAAGCTAGAAATATTTTGAGAACATGCGATTTATACTCTCTGAAATGGGATAAGTCCATGTACAGCAGGTGAGGAAGATGTGATACCTAATACAACAACAAGGTCTGTTACTTCACCTGCCTTCTTCCTCTGTTAGACATAGGCCTCTTCTGTAGTTTGAAGGGTTTGCCTTAATTGTAATGCTATGTTTTGCACCGCTGATGTTGCTCCTCATCGCCCATCTCGATATTTTACGTAAAGAATATGATTTTACTGCCACCTATCGGAAGCCATAATATCTTTCTGGTATATTCCATCACCTCTTACAATAGCCACCAGATGAAATGGGATTATGGTTTAAAAAAAATCTAACAAATTTATCCCAAGTTGTTGTGTGGACTTATGAAAAAATAATTTGGCAACCATGTTACATGCCTTGCAGTTCGTTAGGAGCGACTAATGAGATATAAGGTTTGCGATTATGTAGACAACGGGTTAGGCACCTTACTACTTGTTTTAAAATTTTCTATCTAAGCCAACATTTTTTTTGGTACCTGTTAGTTTCACCCTTATGGTAAATGGATGCTGAGGCACATAAAAACTTTATATATCCTTTATTAAGAATCAACATGCAGATGCGTAGTAAGTCCTGAGGACTAATGTTAGATTGCCTCTTTCCAGTAGAAGGGGAATTACTTAGTTCATCCTGAAATATCGTAAGTAATATAAACTAAATTATACGATCAAGAAATAAGAAATAGTAACCACCTCGGAAATGACTTCTCGGAGATCAATAAATAAGATCGGGAGTTACTTTGTGGAAGTTCGTTCGTAGTCGAGGATAGATGATTGTAGATTTCTGTGATCCAAGGCAACTACTTACTACCAGATGCACTGTATGCTCGTTTATAACCCTTACCCTAAAAAAAATTCTCTGCCAGTCAACCCATGGAGTGATGAGATTTTATAGAAAGTGCAATCACATACATATGTTATATGATATACATATTATATACGTGCTAAAGCAATGCTGCAACTTTATTTTCGTTGTAGCACAAATGTATCGGCTCGACGGCGTAAAATAGCAGCTTAAAGCTACTGTGAGACTAGAGATCTTTTTAAATGGATATCAGACATTCTGTCATAGTGCTCAGGGGTGACAATGCATTAACGTATTGAATCTCAATCTAGGATAACTGTAGATGTCTGCAGCATAGACCACAGTATTCACTTACTATGAGGTTGTACTGTGTGCTCGTTTGTCACCCTTATTCTTTAAAAAAGTCTATATATATA